ATTACTTTCAAGATTGTCTTCTTCTAGCTCTTAGATTAATGTTGTGTCCTTGTATTTCATATGGTTTTACCCTCTTGCATCCTCCTTCAACAGGATAAACTAATTGGTAAGAGAGCAAGGACAGAAACGGTGAGGGCAGGTGACAGACATCGAGAATTTTCCTCCCTCATTATGTGATTTAGGGGAATTTCAATTAAGAAGCTAATAATAACATGTGATCTAGCTACGTAACGGGCTACTACTGACGTATGATTTGTCGATAAAAAGGACTACTGGTTTCAACTTATGAATTTATTTTCAGAGAAAACATATATGTATACGTTTTACAAACTAGACACCATGTGTTTATGTGAGAAACAACTTATATCAAAATGAACAAAATGAAGATCCTAGATGGAACAATTCTATGAAGTTTATATTTAAAAGAACTCATATTCCATTTTCAAAATTTACATGAAGCTACTGACAAGTAACAAGATCCAAAAACTATAATTTCCTCTTAATGATTATCACATGATTATAATTGACGCGCTTGTAGAATTTCGGTGCACTTTAATGAAATTTCATCAACTTGGCTTATATGCCCGACATCAGCGATGGAAGGGGGGGAGATGCCCCCTAACCTAATATGTGTATCCTATATATATACATATATATATATATATATAGAAAAAGATAAAATTATAAATCACTACTATATAGAGATTAATGTCATCTTCAGTTTGATGCTCAAACTTTTTTTTCAAAAAGTTCTATAAAAATCGTTGTAAGTTTACTTGGGGCAGATCACAACTGTTGTATTCAGTGGGCAAAGATGTAAACTGATGACATAATCTCATCTGACCTTATATGTACTGACATTGTCTGATCTCTTTATTAGAATTATTTTTCATGAAAGAAATTGTGATTTCTAATTAACACTATATGTACATCTTGTATGCAAAATATATATTGTTTAGTTCCATCTTTTAGAAAAATTTAATATAGACGAAGCCGACCTTAAAAAATAAATCTAAGATTTATAATAATTTTAACCTTCATCAAGTATTCTCTTGCCCCAATACTTATTTAGGTTACCATAAAGAATCAAGAACAAAATCTACAAAATTTTGAATTGAACTTGAATTTTCTTGAACTTATTAATGACTAATATACACTCTATATGGGTTCCTTTTACGCACAATTCTCGAGTAAAAAAAAATTGAACTTGTATTTTCCCGACCAGCCCTCGCACCTGTTGTTATTGGTGACTTTGAAGTCTTCTCAAAAAGCCAAACTGTTGAACACGCTATATGATTCTCTTCAAAGGTAGTGAGGGAACTACAAAGTTTCAATATTTTACTCTAACGACTTAAAGAGAATTTTCTTCAATAAAATTGGAATACAGTGGATAATTCTTTCGGTTTCTTAACATTTTTTTTCCTTTGAACTGAATGTATGCAATCCTTAATTATAGGATGCATTCGATTCTTAACTCACATGGATTCACTTTGATTCAAAATCTGCAATCGAATCTTAAGACGGCTTTCTTGTGATAGTAGAAAATAGAAAACTCAATAATAGAATAAATATCTACGGGAATTTGAAATAACTTACTTATCTAAGAAAAATCTCCAAAAATATGAAAGGGAAAAGTGCCAAAAAAGTCCTAAACTTTTTGCATTTATGCCAATTTAATCCTAAATCTTTTTTGGTACCAATTCAGTCCTAAACCTTTTGCATTTGTGCCAATTCAGTCCTAAACCTTTTTTTGGTGCCAATTCAGTCCTAAACCTTTTGTATTTGTGCCAATTCAGTCCTAAACCCTTTTGTCTTTGTGCCAATTCAGTCATTTCGGCCAATTTTGGCCGGATTTTGCTAACGTGGACGCTGGCCGGCTGGCGATCGATCACCAGTGCTAACGTGGATAACTTTTAATAATATTTTAATATTTTTTTGAATTTTTATTTCTTTTTTTCTCTCCCCTCTCTCTTTCCTCCAGCTGGTCGCCGGACCGGCGTCCGACCCGCAGGCCGGAGGTTTGCGAGCTCCTCGGCGGCCACCGGGCGAGGCTCGCCCTGCCGGCAACGGCGAAGGCGAGCCTCGCCATGGCTGGGCGAGGCTAGACCTCACCAAATCTGGTGAGGTCGTGCCTTCCGGCCCCTGGCGAGGCTTGCCCTCGCCGGCGGCAGTGAAGACGAAACTCGCCCGGATCCGGCAAGGTCGCGCCGTGGCCGACGAGGAGCTCGCCGGTCTCGGCCTTTGGCCGGTCGTCGGTCCGACAACCGGCTAGAGGAAAGAGAGAGAGAGGAAAAAAAAAAAAATAAAAAAGAAAATAAATAAATAAATATTAAAATATTAAAATATTATTAAAAGTTGTCTACGTCGGTGCTGGTGGGATGACCAATGGCGTCACGACAGCAAAAATCCGACCAAAATTGACCAAAGACTAAATTGGCACAAAGACAAAAAGTTTAGGATTGAATTGGCACTAATGCAAAAGGTTTAGGATTGAATTGACACAAAAAAAATGTTTAAGACTAAATTGGCACCAATGCAAAGGTTTAGGACTGAATTGACACCAAAAAAAAGGTTTAAGATTGAATTGGCATCAATTAAAGGTTTATGACTGAAATTAAGCACAAAAAAGGTTTAGGACTAAATTGAGTCAATGCAAAAGGTTTAAGATTTTTTTGTACAATTCCCAAATATGAAATGATATCGTTGGACGGATAAATATATGAGTTGTCAATTGTGATGTTTTATTGCTAGGAAGAAATGGTGTTGATGTTGGGTTCTATAACATTCTCGACTTGATTGATTTGTTTTATCGGTTGACATGGACTTTTCAATAGACAACCCTAAGTCTTCATATTCAAAATCTCTCTCATTTGCCATTATTACATATACATCTTATCCTTGTTGATCCTCCACCACATATCAAGCCCTAAATTTCCATTGTTCACAGGCTGAGAGGACATGATTTTTCCTCTCAATTCCACACTAGTGTACCTCGTGTCATTGGTCTTTCTTGTTGTGCCACTAGGGACATGTAATGCCTAGTGTGACATTCGGATTTTGGCCCATTTTTGGGATTTATAAAAATGTGTAATTCGTCGGTGCGGCTATAATAAAATCTCGCCTGAAGCGATCACTCCACGGGTTATTGTTTTTAAAATTGAGATTTCGTTAGAATCGCATTGGATCAACTTGTCAGTTATTTAGACCCCAAACTTGGCAGTCGATTTTCGGGAGTTTCGGGAAGAATTTAATTGGATAATGTCGATATTGTGTGGCCGGCCTCGAGATTGCCGGGAATAGTGGAAAAGTCAAATGGTTTGAGATTTTTTTGTACAATTCCCAAATATGAAATGATATCGTTGGACGGATAAATATATGAGTTGTCAATTGTGATGTTTTATTGCTAGGAAGAAATGGTGTTGATGTTGGGTTCTATAACATTCTCGACTTGATTGACTTTGTTTTATCGGTTGACATGGACTTTTCAATAGACAACCCCAAGTCTTCATATTCAAAATCTCTCTCATTTGCCATTATTACATATACATCTTATCCTTGTTGATCCTCCACCACATATCAAGCCCTAAATTTCCATTGCTCACAGGCTGAGAGGGACATGATTTTTCCTCTCAATTCCACACTAGTGTACCTCGTGTCATTGGTCTTTCTTGTTGTGCTACTAGGGACATGTAATGCCTAGAATGAACAACCCTATTCCGCTTCTCTTGCGGCAAAGTTCACAAGATAAGGTATCCCTTTAGCTTGAAGAGTGACCCGAAAGAATATGGTGATTCGATGAGCTGGCGTGTGAGAAAAATCCCAAATAGATCATCAAATCCATCTATAAAAAAAAATTGACACCGTCAATTATGGCGATATCCTTGTGTTTAACATAAGATTGCAAAAGGGTAACTGCTCGTTTCCTCCTATTTATTCATCGACGAACTCTAACTTCAGTTATTACATTCTATAGGTCTATCTCTTAAAAACAACTATGGATGAAGCCAACCTTTTTCCATGGGAAAAGATGTAATTTTCTTCTAAAAAATAGATATATCTTTTAAGAAATTGTGATTTTTAATTAACTTTATTGAATATTCTAATGAAAAATTTATACCTAAAAAATAATTTTAAAATGCGAAATAATTAATAACTAAGAGTCATCGAGAAAAGAGTTCTCATGTCCCGGTACTTATTTAGGTTCTTATAAAAAAATCAAGAACAAAATGTAGAATTGAACTCGTATTTTCTTAAACTTATTAGTGACTAATATACACTCTGATTATGTAATTACTATGCACATAAATTGTTGCAAATTTTTACATTTTAACTTCAGATATGGATTTTTTTTTTCAGATTTGTGCAAGAAAATATGTAGTCATTTGTAGCTAAATCAATGATGACGTTGTGAAACTTATATTTGTCATATACGATACTTTTCTTGTAATGATTTATTCCATGAAATGATTCGAACATGTATGTAATGGATTATGTATGAAGTTTGTAACTTAATTTAACAAACATGAGGTACATATCAAGTGATAAAGTGCCGACGATTGAACAGAAAAATCTTCAAGGATGATGGAGAAGAAGAAGTTTCGAGTCAAGCTAGTTTTTATTTTTGATATTGTTCCTCAAAACCAGATATCAATTTTCCTATGACCGGGACTCGTGGGGCGGAGAAAGAAGATGGAGAAGAAGGAAGGAGAAAAAAAACGAAGAGGAAAACAAGAAGCAAAATGGCGTATCAGAAGGAAGTGATGGGGAAAGAGGGAGAGAGAAAGATATGTTTGTTGACGGGACGTGGAACTAACAATCACGGCGAGAGAGTGGAAGAAACTTTTGAAATTTCAATGGGTGTAAATTTCGTAGATGGCGCTGTATATCGAGGTCATTAAGTTTGGGTCCACCTCCTTTAATTTCTTGATTTCCATGCATTTGTTCCGTTGACTGACTTGGGCTACTCTATAGCACAAGGCGACTCCAAAGTCTCAAATCAAACAAGGACGTCCTACCTTTTTCCATCTTTTTATATTGTGCCTCTCCTCCGCACGCACCAAGCAATTCTTAACCAAATTTCTCTTTCGACCAAAGACAAACAGAGACATGATTACTGCTATCAGCTCCATGAATGTCTATCCAGTGTTGCTACTCGTCCTTGTTCTATTGCAAGCAATGGCCAGCAATGCTAAGTCGAGTAATCAGCAGTGCGCTTCATCCTGTGGTGATATTCGCAATATAAGCTATCCGTTTCGATTGAAGAGTGATCCGAAAGGATGCGGTAACCCAAAGAAAGAGTTGGTTTGTGAAGACAATCGCACTGTTATGTATTTACTTGATGGCCGATTCTATGTGCAGTCTATTAATTATTCCACTTATCAAATCATATTGGTCAACGATGGGTTGCAGAAGGATAATTACTCGTCTCTCCCCCATTATTCATGGCAACTCTATGACTTAAATATCGATGCAAACAGCTCATACGGCAGGTCTGAAGAAGGAGCGGTCATCATTGTGAACTGCTCAAAGCCGGTTAATTCTCCATTTTACATCTCTACTTCTCCATGCATTGAGGGGTCGTACTCTTCCAACACATCATCGAATTGGAACTTGTATGCTCTGCTCAATCCCAAGGCATCGGATGTTAGGGAGTTTTGCACCATTAGCAGTTGGACACCAGTTTCGGATGATTTTGGGCCTTCTAAGGGGGTTAATATTAGCTTCTACAACTACAAGCTAATCCATAAAATCATGGCCGATGGATTTGCTCTCTCCTTTTATGAACTTTCGGTGAAGAAAACTTATTTTTTCTGCTTTGATTTCTATGGCTACTTTCATTTCGATTGCCACTTTGATTCCTATAGAATTGGCGGCGATAACTTCCCCGAAGGTCCGGTTTGTGGATTCAAGCTCTACTCTGGCGGTAAGAATTGGTTGGCAATGAAAACAGTAATTTTGCATGATTCTCTGCACACTTTCACTTGCTACTTTCTCTTCAAAACTAGAAAATGAAAGGATATCTAATTTCCAAGAAAATTATGACAAAAATTATATGATTGTGTACGTTAAAGTTGTGTATTTGAAAGGTTTCGGGAGGTTAGCATTACTTATTAATATCAAATTGAAGGAGTTGCAAGATTCGCAAACAATTGAAAAAGTGATGGTAGAAGCCACCCCCCAAACAGACCCACATCAGCTGCACATATACATGTGCCTAGATTATAACTCCTTTCCGCGAAAGGGCTACAACTCCCACTCTAAGAAAGAAAAAAAAGGATTATTGTGAGAGCACCCACATGACTAGTTTTTTGTTCGCATAGAATTTACATTTTCTTATTTTCTTAATTAGTTCTTCAATTAGTCACTTAACTAATAATTCAAGAGACACTCGTAAACATTCCTTAACGAACTGTAGTTGTGTATCGGTAGGAGGAACAAAATTATTAATTAAAAATGAAATTCATTGTTTCTCTATATTTGTTGACCACTAACAATGCGAAATGAGTTTTTGTATCGTCTATCATCTATGTCAAATGAAGCTTCTTATATCCATTTATTTGCAAATTCACGGATCCCACATCTTATATTCTTTTGAACAAAATTCAACTTGTGCAAAGTAGCTTGCTACTATTCTCTTTTCTCGTGAGTTTTGTTTGCATACTTCTTTTCCTTCAATTCCTTTTCACACCATTCATTCCTTCTATAGGTGTCCCAGATGATATCGCAATTTGCACAGCTTGGGATTTTCCAGTACTACTAGGTAAGCCGCAATGATTTGTTCTTAACATTAATACACAAGAAACTTATTCTAACCTAGCAAAATTTTCTTCAGCGTTTTTCTGTGTAGCGAAATTCGTAATCGGGGTGCCATTTGTTTTGATATTTCTAATCTACAAGTACAAAAGAAGGCACTTAGCAATGGACAAGAACATCGAGGAGTTTTTGCAAACTCATAACAACTTCTTGCCCATAAGGTACTCTTACTCGAATAGAAAAAAGATCACCAGAAACTTTAAATACAAACTAGGTGAGGGTGGATATGGTTCCGTGTACAAAGGAATGCTCAAAAGCGGCAACGAAGTGGCCATCAAGATCTTAAAGAAGTGCAAGGCCAATGGCCAAGATTTTATTAGTGAAGTGGCTACTATTGGAAGAATTCACCATGTTAATGTTGTGCAACTAATCGGTTTTTGCTTTGAAGGCTCGAAACAAGCTCTTGTGTATGATCTCATGTCAAATGGATCTTTGGATAAGCACATTTTCAGTGAGGAAGATGACAAGTTTCTTGATTACAAGAAAATATATGAGATCGCTCTTGGGGTGGCAAGGGGAATCAAATACTTACATCAGGGTTGTGACATGCAAATACTACACTTTGATATCAAGCCTCATAACATTCTTTTAGATAAGAATTTCACTCCAAAAGTTTCTGACTTTGGACTAGCGAAACTTTATCCCACAGATCATAGCATAATTTCATTGACTGCTGCAAGAGGAACCTTGGGATATATGGCGCCTGAGTTGTTGTACAAAAGCATTGGCGGTGTATCTTATAAAGCGGATGTATACAGCTTCGGGATGATGCTCATGGAATTGGCAGGTAGAAGGAAGAATATAAATGCAAATGCAGAACACTCAAGCCAAATTTATTTTCCTTTGTGGGTATACGACCAAGTTAGTGAAGGTACAAGTGTTGAAATGGAAGAAGTTGTAGAAGAGGAAAGGAAGGTGATAAAAAAGATGATAATAGTTGCACTTTGGTGTATACAATTAAACCCTGATCATCGTCCTCCAATGAGCAAAGTCCTAGAAATGCTTGAAGGAGATATTGGTAAACTTCAAATGCCTCCAAAACCGCTTACTTACCCATCGGATGTGTCAATTGACAATCACATAACCGAGATGGAGCTAAAAACGTTCTCAACTTCTTCAAGCGCTCCGATAATTTCAGCTAATTTTCCTTTTAGAGATAGCAATGATGTCTAGAGAAGCATGCACAATTTGAGTGGAAAAGCTTTGTGTATTTGCCCACAATCTAGTATTATGTTGGGAGGGACTTGAGCTAGTCTAGCTCGATACTAATTACTTTTGAGATTGTCTTCTTGTGGCTCTTAGCTTAATGTTGTGTTACTGTATTTCATATAGTTTTACTCTCTTGCATTCTCCTTCAAAAGGATAAAAAAAATTTGTAAGATAGCAAGGACAAAAACAGAGGAGAAGGCGACGGACATCGTGAACTTTCCTCCCTCATTACGAGATTTCAGGTAATGACAATGAAAAAGCTGACAATAACCCATGATCTTGCTCCTTAAATTGCTACTACCAACATATGATTTCTTGATATCAACAACCGATTTTGACTTGTGAATTCATTTTCAAAGAAAATATACATGTATACATTTTACAAAATAGACAAATCTGTCTATGCAAGAAATAACTTTTATCAAAATGGGAAAGATTAAGATCTTAGATGAAACAATTCAATTAAGTTTATATTATAAGAACTTATAATCTATTTTAAAGTTAACATGAAATTGCTGACGAGTAACAAGATTGAAAAATATCAATTTTCTCTTATATCACTTGATTACGGCAAAAAAAAATAAATTTGGGTAAAAAACTAGTATATTTATTTAATTATAAGAAGTTGGAGGATACATTCCATAGGCTTCAGAATACAGTAAATTCCAAAGACCCCGAGAAAGATAAAGAACCCAATTACTCTGTAAACTATTTCTCCTTTGGGCTTTAGCGACCCAATCAACCACCTTATTGGCTTCTTTACTGATATGGGCCAAATTTAGCTTCAAGTAGGGCTTGCGCAGCTGTTGGGCTTCGCTGATAAGCAGATGGAGCTCCCAACTGATCTGTGCTTGATCTGCGAGCCCACTTATCAGATCCAAGTGATCCGTTTCAATCTCCACCTCTTCTCCCGATCGAACGAGAAAGTACTTTAGGGTTTGTACCAAGGCTGTCGCTTCTGTCATTGCCGCCGATGAAGCTTTGATCGATCGAGCGAACCCGTCCACCAGGCGCCCATTGTGGTCTCTACAGATAGCAGCAATAGCTCCTTCGCTCGTTCCTTCCAGATAAGCACCGTCTATGTTGATTTTTAGTTTTCCTCTCTCCGGTGGTCGCCACTGCTGGGAAGGAATTGCTGATAAAGCTTCTTCTTTTTTCTTCCCAGGAAGCCATCTTGTGCAATTTCGAAGTAACAAGTGAGCATTCTCCGCCGTACGCTCGGGATCTGGTTTCAGTGACCGAAAAATGCCGTTGTTTCTGGCTTTGCAAATCTGCTAGAGGACGCTCGCCAACAACTCGAGAGGAATGCAGGTATGTTTGAATTTGGCAAGCCGTTCATCAAATCTTGATAGTCCATGAGAGGATATGTGTATTTGCAGAGAAGGATGATCCCATACCTTCTTCGTCCAGGGGCACAGGAGGAGGATATGGTCCACAGTCTCTGGGCTTTGCTTGCAGATGCTACAAATTGGATCAGGTACGATTTGCCTCCTATATAAGTTTTCTCTGGTAGCAAGAGCATTTTGACACGCACTCCACAGAAAAAATTTAATTTTAGGTATTGTGTGGGACTGCCAAATCTTCATCCATAGGGATCGAGGAGTTTGATAGGATGATGAGGCTAGTGTTGGATTGAATATTGCGGATTCCTCTCTGATTTTGTTGTAAGCACTCTTCACCGTATAATCCCCAGTTTTGGAATTAGTCCACACCATTCTATCTTTTGTGTCCTGCGAGCTCAATGGGACTACAGAGATATCGGCCATAATGTCAGGGTCGAAGAGGTCATATAGCTGTTGTTCCTTCCATTTTACTGCTCTCTTGTCGATCAAATCAGCCACTACTCTAGGATCATCTTTATTTGCCGGTCCCCCGATCAATCCCCTTTTTAACCACCTATCCTCCCTGATTCTGATACTCTCTCCATTCCCTACCACCCATTTGATCGAAGGACTAATGGTTTCTCTACCCATTAAGATGCTTTGCCAGCCCCACGACGGTCTACTCCCTTTGCTTGCATGCCAAAAGTCTCCTTCAGGAAAATATAATCCTTTAAGAACCTTGCTCCAAAGAGAGGAAGGATTTTGAAATATCCTCCATGCCTATTTTCCCAACATAGCCTTGTTAAAAGAAATCAAATCCCGAAAACCAAGGCCTCCATTATCTTTTCTGAATTTCAGAATTTCCCATCTCTTCCAATGCATACCAGCCTGGTCGCTGCCATTTTTCCACCAAAAGGCTGCCACTTTCTTCTCAATCGCTTTACAAATGGATACTGGTATCTTGAAGATCGACATAGCATATTGAGGAATGGCTTGCACCACTGCTTTAATTAAAATCTCCTTTTCCGCTTTGGAAATCAACTTTTCCTTCCATCCTTCAAGCTTCCTAATAACCCTTGCAGTGATCCAAGCAAACATTTGCTTTTTCTTTTCTCCCCAATCAGATGGGATGCCCAAATATTTGCCGATTTTCTCAATTTCTGGAACTCGCAATTCGTATGACATATTCCTTTTTAAACTCCATGGACACTCCCTACTGAAAAAAACCCCTGATTTGTTTCTATTAATTGCTTGGCCTGAAGCATAGCAATATTGATTCAAGATAGCTGAAATGTTTTGGCATTCTCTAATGCTTCCTTCTAAGAAGAAAATCGAATCATCCGCAAAGAAAAGGTGGGATAAAGTGGGGAAGGATCTATTCATCTGGATCCCTTGAATACTCCCATTCTCCAAAGCACGTTTTAGCATGAAGGATAGACCATTCGCTACTAGAATAAACAAGTACGGGGATAGTCGATCGCCTTGGCGAATGCCTCGCAAAGGTTGGAAATAAGGCTGGTGCTCTCCATTGATTTTGACACTAAAAGTAACTGACGAAACACATTGCATAATCCAATTCACCCATTTTGAGCAGAATCCCATTTTCAACATACTGGCCTCCAAAAAATCCCATTCCACTATCGTAAGCCTTTTGCATATTCAGTTTTAGAATCGCCTGAAATTTCTTCTTTCTTTTTCGTACTCTCAACTGGTGGAGCACCTCTTGGACGATTAGGATATTGTCTTGAACCTGTCGTCCACATACGAAGGCACTCTGTTCTTCTGAAATCAACTACGGTAGCCACAGCTTGAGTCTATTTGCCATGACTTTAGAAATGATTTTATAGGCAAAGTTACATAAACTGATAGGTCGAAACTGCTCCAGTTTTTCGGGGTTTGAGACTTTTGGGATCAGGGTAATATGTGTTCTATTAAGCTCAGGGTCGAGGTACCCATATGTAAAGAAATTCTGTATCTTCTTAAACATATCGAGCTGGACATCTTCCCAATGATGTTGAAAGAATTGTCCATTCAAACCATCTGGCCCCAGTGCTTTGGTGGAACCTAGCTGGTGAATCGCCATCTTCACTTCCTCCAAGGATAAGTCTGCTATTAAACTGTGGTTTATTTCCTCCCCGACTAAACATGGATAGTTTTCCAAGACTGGTTCAAAGTTTAGAGAGCCGCAAGAACTATAAAGGTTTTGGAAAAAACTCACTGTCATTTGCTTCAACTGGTTGCTGTCCCGCACCCATTCATTGCTGGAGTTTTTTAACATCCTTATCCTGTTTCTTTGTCTCCTTTGAATCGTTGTTGCATGGAAGTATTTTGTATTTTTATCCCCCCACTTTAACTAGTTTATTCTTGATCTCATTCCCCAGTACATCTCCTCTTGTCGCCAAAGTTTTTCAATCTCCCCATTTAGAGAAGCAATTCGCTCTCTTTCACCACCCAAACCTGGGTTACTATTAATGGACATGAGTTCATTTTTCAAGGAGTTTATCTTCCAAAAAGCATTGGTGAACTTTTTCCTACTCCATTTTTCCAACTCCCTTGCAACCCTTCTTAATTTTTCCAGCAAATCAGCCTTAGAAGAATGCCAAACATCTCTAATAATATATGCCCACATTCAGCATCTTCTAGCCAAAAGGCTTCAAATCTGAATTCTTTTTTCCTCTTGACTAAATCCGGGAATAAAGAAATCATAATGGGGCTATGATCCAAGCCTAAGGCCGGTAATGCTATAACTTCAGCCCTTGGGAAAGTAATCCTCCACTCTATAGTACAAACTGCTCGATCTAGTTTTTCCTTAATATATGCACTCCTCTCTCTATTGTTGGTCCATGTGAACGCTCACCGTTTACTCTCCAAATCCATCAAGTAACAAGCATCAAGACAATCCCTGAACGCTTGAATTTTGTAGTTTTCAGCCATACGCAAGCCAACCTTTTCCCAGTAATAAAGTACTTCATTAGAGTCTCCAACACAAACCCAAGGGAGTCGATTCGCTATGCTGATTTGATACAGTTCAGCCCATAGTTGTAGCCTAGAGTGGAAGTCATTTGGAGCATGGACAAAAGTGATTCGCATTCTCTGTTTGCTTTCTACAATCTCACATACAAGATTCACTAGATGCCCGGAGTATGAATCTATTGTGATCGACATAGTTTCATTCCAAAACAAAGCCATTCCCCCCGCTATGCCAACATGATTCACTATAAAGCACTTTTGGAACTGCAGCCTTCACTTCAAACGATGTACAACTTCTTCTTGATTTTTAGTTTCCATTAAAATCGTTAAAGAGGGCCTCTCCTGAGCCACAAGAACTCTTAAAGCTTGATTTGTCAGGGGTGTGCCCAACCCCTAACAATTCCAGCATACGAGCTTCATTTGTAACCTAGTGGCTTATTGGCAGTGGCCACCAAAGCCCATATTTTCTCCTCTGAAAGCAACTGAATGGGAGTCTCAAGTAGCTAAGTTTCATCCAAAACGGGCATAATAGAACAGTTCTTCTCATAAGGACTGAAGCGTTTCGCTTTTTTACCTGCTGGAATCTTCTATCCTCAGCTTTTTCTTGTGCATTTCCGCAGGTTTTAAAGCTTTAGCAGACCAAGCGACCTTCTGTCACCAAGGCCAGTGCATCAACAGCCATTTGTTGACTGGCAAAATTGTCAAGACCAAGGACACAGAGAGAAGAAGAAAGAGCTGGTAGGGTTTGTGGGTAATGGGGGAAGGGGTTTAGGGTTTAACAGGGTTTTGGGTTTCTGATGTAAAGGGGTAATGATTTTTCCACGAAGAAGTGGAAAGATTGAAAAGAAAAAAAGGAAAGCGGATTGACATAGGAAAGGGATTAGGGTTAGAAATTTGGATTGAGATTGAAGAGAGCTACCACAAAATAGGGTAGAGAGAAGCTCTCATGATGAGAGAGAGAACTGGAACCGATTCCAGAGCCTGAAATTTTTACGGCAATTTCAATTGACTGGTTTTTAGAATTTTAGGGTACTTTAGGGCCTATTTAGTAACGTTTCTGTTTTTCTGTTCTTTTGTTCTCTGAAACAGAAAAAGAAGAAATTCGTTTAGTAACGTTAGTTAGTTTTTTTGTTCCCCGGAACAAAAAAGCGGTTAAAGAAAAGATTTGGAACAGAAATAAGAAGTAAAAAAAGTTTACTTTTCTGTTTTTAGAACAAAAGAGAAACAAGATCAGCTGTTTCTTTCACAAGATATTATTATACTAAACCTTAAACTCTAAATCCTAAATCCCCAAAATCTTAAACCTCAATACCAAAGCACTAAAACCCATAATACTAAAATAAAAAATCCTAAAACCCTAAACCTTCTAAACCCAAAAATCCAAACCCTAAATTCCAAACCCAAAACCTGAAACTCTGAACCCCAAAACTCTAAACTCGAAACCCTAAAACCTAAAATCGTAATTCCAAACCCTAAATCCTAAAATGCTCAACCGTAAAACCCCGAATCCTAAATCATAAACCCCAAACCGTAAACTGTAAACCCTAAACAACTAAACCACAAACCCTAAACCCAAACCCTTAAACCCTAAACTCAAAACTCGAAACACTAAACCCCAAACCCTAAATCCTAAAATCCAAAACCTAAAACCCAAAACCCCAAACCCTAAACCTCAAAACCAAAATCCTTAAACCCTAACCCAAAATCCTAAAATCCTACCCCCTGAACTGTAATTTCTTCAATCACCACCCGGTATTTGCTTTGTCTATAATGAGTAATTTTTTTTATGATTGTATTAAGGTCATCAAATTCTATATCATAATATATTATTATTCTATTTCTAGTCCAATTTTATTCAAACATGAATTGTTAAGTCTCATCAACTGTAATTTCCTTGACCAACATCCGATGTTTGCTTTGTCTATAAGGAGTAATTTTCTTTATGATTGTATTAAGGTCATCCAATTCTATATTATAATATATTATTATTTTATTTCTAGTTCAATTTTATCCGAATATGAATTGTTAAGTCTTCACTGACAATTTTATAATTAGATGAAAAAATTGGGAATAGAAATTTTTAGTGTCCTGCCAAATGCATTTCTATTCCTTTTCTACTCAAGGAATATAAATTTTGTGCAATTACTAAAGCATTTTTTTCTCAGAAACTCGTCTAGGGAATATAAATAGAAAAAATAATTTCTGAACAGAAATTGTCTCTAGAAACAGAAACGTTACTAAAAATACCCTCAATGAAACTTCATCAATCTGGTTATGTACCCGACATTGGCCATGGAGGGAAGGGAGAGAAGGGGAGGCGACCCCTTACCCGCAAAAAAAAAAAGTTACAAATATCGGCTATAGAGAATTTAATCTCATATTTAGTTTCATGCTCAAAAATTTTATTTTTCAAAAAATTATATCAAAATCCATGTCAGTTTGCTTAAAATGAATTCCAGAATTTGACGGTTTCTTAGTTTTCTCAAATGGATCACCTCATAATATCGAGAACTCACTTCTTCCTCCCAGCTGTTCAGAATCACGGTCCCGCGCAGCTCTGGTGGTGGCGAGCATGTGCCGGTTCTCTTCCCCACCTCTCTATTCCTCTCAGTTCTTCCCTCTCGGGAAACTGAGGCTCACAATGATGGGTTTCAACAAGAGAGCAATCGAATGCGTTACATTGCAGACATGCGAATCATGCCCACCGGCACCCTTGAAGAAGAGAAATGGTGCAAAAAGTCAGACATGGGAAATCAAGTGGAACCTGGGTCACGTGAAGCAATGCCGGTCGGAATTCCCAGGTGAGAGGGGGGGTCGTTAGATTGAAATTCGAGTTTTCGTGGCAGATACTTCCTAATGGCCAATTGTGCGAACCAATGAATTTCGATGAAAAATATTTGCTAAGATTTTGTTGCAATAGAGCTTTATTCAAAGTGTGGGATGCAGGAGGCGACAGAGGAACCGAAAGGGTAAATAGGAATTTAAGGAGATTGAGTTCGGTTCCACTCTTCCATGAGTGAATCAGCTAACTGTTTCATTCTGTAGGAAAGATCCTTCGAGACCGGTGAAAATTTTTTACAGCCTCGATGAAGCCAGTTGAAATCATGCTTTTTTCCTTTGTTTTCTGCATTTTCTCTACTTAGTGAGTTTCGCTGTAATTAGAGAACAAAAAGATGAGCAACAAATATTTAGGAAAAAGTTGCTTAGGAAGATATTGTTATGGTTGGGCGATTGCAATAAGCTTGTCATGCTAGCTTCAAACATGTTGAGGTTCGAGCTAAATCTTGGCATCTTGCTGGCACTTTTTTTCTTGGCCCTCCTCTGAAATATGATCTCATAGTTAAATATAGATGCCATTGGGGGATTCTTAATTCCCCATGCAATAACTTCTCTCTCCAAAGGCATAAAATCATCTGGAGGAGCTTGAAACAAATTGAATGATCTTTATTTTCACTTGTTACTTCATACAAGAACTTAGCAGTTTAGCCATTGCCTTGGACCTCTCGGTAATAAAGGCGATCACTTACATTAGAAAGCACCAGAGTCACTGATTTCATCCCTTTCTAAAGAATGCTATTCTTAGACTTGATACAAAATTGAACGAAAGGATTCATATATTCGAACCTGCTTAGTGGGATGAGATTTAGTTTGTTGCTCTTATTGTTGTTGTTGCTCATTTCTAGACCACCTTTCCTATTTAATTGATGCACTGTACAATCTATTAATTTGACAGATAGCACTGTATTATAAGCTATAGTAATTTTATCAACTTCCTGAGCAGATCATATTCGGTCAGACAATTAGCTGCCTCGGCATATGGGGCCCTCTGCGCTGTAGCTTTTTCTATTCCAATAACATCTAATGGAAGACAACATTGTCATGCTTTTACTATGGTGGATAGGTTCATTAGCTGGTCACTACCATCGCTCCTAACATAATTGCTGGAGATGGTACAGCAGAACTGGTACTCGACAGCCTCCAGTTTCTTAACGTTGGGAATTTTAATGGAAATGAAAAATATGCATTACCAATTCTCAAAGCATGCTCACAGCTACTCCAAGATGAGTGAAGCTCCTTGAGTTTATTGCATAGCCTCTTGGCATTATAACTCTGATCTCACTAAAGTTTTCTATATGCTTCCAAACCCACTTTTGTGGACATTGTGGATCTGCTTCTTGGTTGGGCATTGATACCGGACTTCGGAGAATCAGAGAGACATGTTATTGTGGATTTTTTCATGCAATTCCAAAAGCATTGGGTCCGTAATTTGCAGTTCTCGCTTGGATTGATGTCGAAGTTCCAGGGTGACATGGATGCGCTACCGCGTGATGGGGTCTGGGTACTCCACAACAATTTCGAAGACTGCTCTCCCTGCTCTTTTGTTTTTATACCATCCTGCAGTCCACTGCTTCTGGGTTGAAGCAAATCTTCTTGGACAAATAAGCGTCCACTTAACAAGATGCTACCGCAGCTGAAAAGTACAATATTTGACGTTTAAGAATCCTCCAAAATCTGCCGATTCACTTGCAGATGTATGATGGCCATCTGATGGATGGCAATCCTGTGTATAGCCGGTAAGATGATAAGAACTTATGCGTGTGTACCTTTAAATTTGAAGGAAGAAATGGATTTTAGTTTTCGTGGACCATGAATTTTAGATTTTGCAAAGATCTCGCCTAATTCCAATGTAATGTCTTTAGGCGAACTATACATCATGACAGACGTAGATTTCCGATGGCCAGTCAACAAAAGTAAAAAGCTCTGGAAGAAATCACATAAGATTGATTTTGGTAAATCAGCTGAAAATTATCGCCTCCTTTTTGAATTTTTGAGCTATGTGACGGAGTTGCACAATCAAGAATGGGTTGGGCTGACATTTATGTCTGGATATGCCAAAACCCGGATCCGAAATACAGAAGACCACCGGGTTAAATCCACTGCTTTAATACTCGTCAATTTAGGCAGCATCAACACTAGACCTCACTCCACTCGTTCGCCATTCCCTCGCTTCATCAATCCCGCACTTCTCTCGCTCTCTCTGTGTGAACTGTCGCTGGAGTTGAAGTTGGCAGCTCTACGGCACTACTAAGAACTAAGAAGCTGTTAGAAATGTAATAGGCAATAATGTTTTTCTAATTGTGTGATGTTTAGGATGAAGGATAACGTGTCATGTTTATGATGAAGGATAATTTAGTGCTTTATTCCTTATAGCAGACACTAATGCAACAAGGGATGTTGTTTTCATTTGGTCATGGAATAACCTTAATTTATGACATTATTGCAAACTTTCTAGAAGTTGTAAGCATCACAAAATGTATGTAGCCTCCAATATCGACATATAGCAAAAACAGATGGAAGGAAAGTGAAGTCCTTTTTTGGTGTTTCTTGAAAATAAGTTACTGTTGATTATTTTGTTATTTTTCTTTACGTGTAGATTCTTATTTGTAGATTGATTGATAGGCCTATACGTCCGACAATGCTGAAGGGCTTGTACCATGAAACTCAAGTTCTATCTTGAATTGCTCATTGCATGCTTAATTTTCTTGTGGCTGACGGATTCTTGGTTCGACACACTTAAGACCCACTGTTAAATTTTGATATTTGATGTTCTTCTCTCGATATATTTTTATTGTTGGAATTCACTTGCATACCTCATAAACCAACTTTTCTAGGCATGACCTAAATAAACTATATCCATTTTTTAAAACCTTTCTTTGCATAAGTTGTTAGATACGAGTGTATTAAGATTATTTGATCCTGAAAGTATGTTCCTGGTTTAATCTGAAGGGCTTCTCTTATCAAATCCTTTGTTGTCTGGACTTGATACAAGGAGGAAAGCGGAGTGATGGTTGAACGCCTGATCAAATAAGGCCAATTAACTCAAGGCGCGGATTGCTTCCTAGGGCACATGGAAGTGTCCTTTTTACACGCGGCAAAACACAGGTTTGCCATATGCATTCTTCTGTTATGAAAATGAACCAGTCGCTTCTCTTTTGCTGGTTGAATGGAAACGGTTTCCTCTAATTTTTGCTGGAAC